AAAGTCCGCCCTCCGGAAGTCCATGATAGCAAGTCTTATCTCTTGTGTTCCTGTAGACAGTAGTACTTAAGTAATCTAACATGAGTTTTCTCTGATATTCCTGTCACAACAAGATATCTTTTCCAATAGCCATCCTGTTATTCAGTTTTTCTTTGTCTTCTGTCATTGCTTATGCCTTTCAGACATTAGATTTTGGATAGAACAGAAACTGCCCAAACCATCCCAGACAGGACTGGGATAGCTCAGTCTCATTTTTTTTAAAAACATTTTGTGTGTACTCATCTTTGTCAAATTCTTTTCATAGGTAATTTATTCATTTTGGCCACCTTTGAAATTTAGGACTAATTATCATGCTTTTGACACACAACATCACACTATCAGTATATTACCACTTAATACCCATGTTTTGGAGAACTAGATGTTGAAAGGCATTTTCACCAAGTAAAGATAATGAATTTAATAACTTCTTTCCCCAAGATGTATCTTCCATAATGGTATCAACAATTCAAAAGGAAGAAACAACTATTCAAAGTTCAGAAGACTCTACGAGTGCTCAAATTGTCTACCAATTGTATTTTACATCCACTTTTTTTTCTTTAAACTTCTTCCAAGAACAGCATTTTTTTGCCTTTTTCTTAAATAACTTGTTCATTGTGAAGCTGGTTGAGGTGTTTAGACCTATGGAATACACCTCAATAAAGCATTTATTTTGATCTAAAAATGAAATACTATCTCTCCACTTTTTTAAGTGCTCTGTAACTGCTACAGCTAGATAAAGAGAATGTGGTTAGAGAATGTTAATTCCTGTGGCATTTGGATCAGACCTGTAGAAGGCCAATGTAAAGAAAAGAGTTAGGTTTCTCTGTAGTGCTGTCTTACTGTTTGAATTTTATGCTCTGCTCTCCTACCATAGAAGATATTTGTATTGATTCTTTCTATGTGTTTTCTGAAACACAAAGCTCCACTGGCAAAAGCACTTGGCTTTGTCTCACCTAACTACATCTTGATCTCTATTCCTTCTGTATTCCGTAAAGAGAAATGAGAATTTTCATCTCATCTTTGGGCAAATGCTTAAGAGGAGAGGGATGATCCTACTGCCAGATGTGCCTGTCTTTTCTTTTGTTCTCTGTAGAGGCAGTCAAGGTGAAATGCTTAGGCTTCTGATTTTACATGTCTGAAAGTTGGTGAAATTCATGTCATTGGAAAATCTAATAGGAAAATGAATCTCCAGTTCCTTGTGCCCCTCTACTGCATCCCAGTCCTTCCCTGCCCCCCCCCCCCCCCCCCCCCCCTCTTAAAAAAAACATATTTTGGTAATAATCAAAGAAAAAAAGTTGACAACTTTATAAGTTAAATCCCCCCTACTCAAGCTGACATCAGCGTTTCTTACGTTGTCAAGCTAAACTCACCTGTATTTTGTTTAGAGGAACTAGAAAAACACCTTTCATTGTAAGGTCTATGTGCCAAGGCTGTCACATGAAATTATGCTTTTTGTGACCTAAGCAGATTTACACCAGGAACTTGGCTAAGAATGACCTTCTTTGTTTCTGTTAGGCTACCAAACAATATCAAAATCAAACAATATCAATATAAAAAAAAAATGAATTTTGCTGACTACTAAACCAGTGTGGAGTCTGCAAGTGAAAACATTTTCTCTGTTGCTATTATTTTATTTCAAAAGATATGTATTCCTTTCCAATTTCTTACATTACCTATGTCAATAACTGGAATATGTGTTTCAGAAGAGTGGGAATATGAGTGATGAGGAAGAAGAAATAGCTGCTGCGATGTGTTGGTTCACTAAAGTTTCAATGGTTGGTTGAAGTTGGTTCAAAAAGTTTCAATGTTGTGTTTTCCAGAGTCGATAATTCAGAAGACCCAGTGTATGAGAGCTTAGAAGAGTTCCATGTTTTTGTCTTAGCCCATATTTTGAGAAGACCTATTGTTGTAGTAGCAGACACAATGTTACGAGACTCAGGGGGGGAAGGTAAGAGTTCTTCAGTAGAAATTTATACACCTATGTAAATTGAATCAGTCATAAACTATCACAAACAAAACAACTGGCTGTAACATATCTGAGTGTTTATGGGACAGCTCCTGCTTTTTTTTGCAGGGGGAGGCGGAGCAGAATGATACTCAATCCATTTCTATTAGATAAAAGTGAAAAATACAGGATAATTCTGTAAGTCTTGCAGAAAACATGTTTATCCTAGGTATTTACTATTAACTTTACAACCACCAAATTACCGACCACTATACACTTCTCACTGGTCTAGTCTAACAAGGTTCTAATTATAATAATAATAATAATAATAATAACCTGTGTTATTTTGGTGCCCCTTAAAACTCTGCGTAAATCAATCTAATCCGACTTCAAAAAATTGAATTTTGAATGTATATATCTTGTTTTTTTGTTTTTACTAACTCCTTTGCAGCCTCTCATTCAAAAGTTTCCAGAATGTTTTATTCAGTGTGCACATGTGAGCACACCAATGTTTGATCCATATGTGGAGACAGCTGGACAGCTGTCTGAGAAGGACTTGAATAATTATAAATTAATTTCTTCTTTTTACCATGAACAAATGTTGCTTAAATAAAGGGGAATGTTTGGTTGATTAAAGGGGAATGTTAAACATGTGATGGAGTTTACAGAAATTTACTTCTACAGGAAAATGCTGGGAGGTAATTTCAGTTTCCATTCAAATTGTGAACTACAAGTAATGGTTTTATGATTGCTATCTGCTCTGACAGACTGGATCACTATTGCTTCATTTCCTCATAACTTTTCCTATTCCAAATTGCCCTCCCCTCACATTTTCTTCTCCTTGTCTATCACAATAATCCCAGTGGTTTTTCTCACTGCTGGCCTCATGGGCCAGCATGATCAAGTTACCTCAGTTTACCTGTTGCATGTATGGTTTCCAAAAAGACTAATAACTTGCTCAGATTTGGATAGACTCACCAAAATATAGATTTATGCTTTAAAAACAATACTGTTCTCAGTGCCAAGTAAAAATAGTGCATTGTTTGGGTTTACTTTTTCCTCATGCTTATTTTGTAAATACTTCGGCAATACTGATTCATATTTTTACAGCAAAAGGAAATATAATTGGTCAGAAATAAACACAGTGAATTTTCCTGCCCAAACTTGCTGTTTCCCATAATTATGTATAAACAAGTGCAGAATCTTTCAAAGGAAAGACCTTTGCCCTTACAGGTGCAGCATTCCGTTCAAATTCTACTTGTAGAAATTTTTTTAATCTTTCCTTATCATAATTACATATACATACATATACACATTCAGACATATATATAAACATGTTTGTAATGTTTCTCATAGAAATCTGTTAATGCAAGGTGTGAGCAGAGTTTGTTACCAAAAGAAATGATAGTGTACTTACTACAGATTATTAGAAAATATCCTTCTACCTAGAAGCATTACAGGAAGGTACAAATCTGCATACCTGTGTGAGCGTCATCAAGACCTTAATATCTTTACTGGTAAACAATTAGAGCAAGGAAAATCTACGTAAGTGGTGAATGTTGCCATTATTGTTCTTAGTGTATTTCTTGCTCTTTTTATAATGAAACTTTACCTGTTGTTATGACTCTTTTCTGCATTGATGACTCCACTTTAGGCTGCTCTCTGGAGCTCTGAAAATGTTGCAGCACAATTGTTACATACAGTAGAACCAACATTATTGTCTGTTCTTTGACACAGTTAAAAGAAAAAAAAAAATCTCATTTTTCTTTGCAGCATTTGCACCTATACCTTTTGGAGGAATTTATTTGCCACTTGAAGTTCTACCTAACAGATGCCATTGCTCACCTCTTGTGCTAGCCTATGATCAGGCCCATTTCTCTGCTCTTGTTTCCATGGAGCAAAAAGATCAACAGAGAGAACAAGGTATGCTATAAAGACAGCAACCCAAGGGTATATATTGAATATAATGTACAAAGTACTTTCTTCTACCTATAGGTGTATTGGTCTATCAGAAAGGAAAAAAAATCCACTAAATTTTATTGCTGCATTCTTAGGTGTCTAAGTGGTCTAAGCACAAGTCTGGTAGACAAGAACTCTTCAGTCCTAATCCTTGTGCTATCACTGTCTTTGGCACCTAAACCTTTTCTGTCAGTTCCATGCATGTAAATAGGTAGAATCATAGTTCCCTACTGTGCTTATGGATTCTTGAAGGCCTTTGTTAATTTGGGTTAGTAAAGTGTTTAGAAGATTAATCGTGAGTCAGATTACTATTGAAAACTCATGTAACAGAAAAATCTCTCTTCTAGAGTGCTAAATACACTTTTTTCATTTAAAAACGTTTAATTGAAATGTTTTTATCTTACCATCTTGCTGTCTTCTGTTTCTTTGGAACAGTGATGACAAAGTCTGACCAGATATTTCTGTGTGAAGTTTGAGCATCCTGGGTATGAGATTGGGCATGACGAGTTTCAGGACTGGATTTGTTCCTGTATCAGTAGCCTAGGAGCTAGCTGTAGCTGCCCTTATTTGAAAGACCTGTTTGCTTAATATTAGGAAGCTGTGAGATGAACTCCTATCTGTCTTTGCTCCTTTTGTGGAGAAGAGAAAAGTGTTTTGCCAAAAACATGGTGAGGCTTTAAAAAAGTTCAGTGGCATTTTGCTGTTAGGTATGAGTCATCTTTTTTTTTTGCCTGATGACACTGCAGAGGTTGTTTTAAATCCCTTATGAATGCATATACCTGTAAAGTAAATATGGAATGTGTGCTGGCTGTTGACATCTCCTGAGTGAGTTTCATTTAGTCCTCCTTCCTAGAGAGCAGTTTAGAGGCAACTAAATATCCTTCATTTAACTCCCTAACCCTATGGGCATTTTGTCTGATTTTGGATGTATGAGGCATTTTCCATGCTTATGAGGCAGCATTCTGCAGCCATGTGAAGTAGAGAGAAAGACATTCATTAAAATGAGGAGGAGGAGGAAAGAACAACAGATTTTGAGCAGACATCTTCATGCAAGAATTTGACATCTAGTTAAGTCATCCTTCTTGGAAGGAGCAAAGAGTTTTTTTCATGAGGTTGTGTGAGAGGTGAAACACTCTACAAAGGGTTGCATGTAGTATTGGCAAACTTTGCGTCGGTGAAGAGGAGACTGAATCACAAGAGAGTAATGGAAAAAAGGTTGATCTAGATGTCAAATATTCAATGGGAAAATCAATCCAGTCCAACTACTCAGCCTTCAGTGGCACATAGCTATGTCAGGGATTTGTAGGTAGGTGCTTGGCCATAGGTCTGGCTTTTGTATTATACACTGGTGACATTGCAGCTACCTTCCAGCCCTCAATCTGTAGAAGACCGACCCTTAGGAAAATACTTTTCACATAGGAACTATTTCCAAAGCAGTACGCTGAGGTATAATGTGAAAGTCTGCAAAGCAACTTCATACCATTGTAATGCAATAATGTGATATGAGTGAAGATAGAGTTTTGGAGAGCCTTTTTAAGGATGTGGTTTCACTGTTGATGGTCGCTGATGACACACTGCAGCCAGGATGGTAATGTCAGCATGCTGTTAAGTTAGCAGCTCCTACATACATGTCTGTGTTACAAATTGTAGAGTTGTCATTTTGTAGAACATGCCTTCATGCCTTTGGTCTTAATCCTTTTATAGGTCTGAGTTCTGTTAGTGGTGAAACAAGACAATTTCTGAGTAGGCAGAGTCCATTTCTCCCTTTCTAGCAATTGGGATCAGAATAATATCAGTAGACTGACAGTAATCTCATTTATTTCAGGCATGTCTGTCTCCCTTCATACACTACTTCGTTATCACAGGTCTCACAAGAGCCTATGTGCATAAATAATTTGATTGCATACACAGAACTTCACTATCTCTGCAATATCTTTGTAGACAGGGTAACCACCACCCACCAAACCTTTTGCAACTGTGGCATCCTTTAAGTGTCAGGGTCGACAAAAGGTAGTGAGGGAAACTACTGTTCAGCTGCTCTGACTCTACCCCTCAGTGTGTTAAAAGTATTCAGTGATACAACTTGGTGCCATCTACTGAAATATTCTTAATATTATAAGCCATATATTCCTCTCAGTTACACACTGCAAGATCTTGGGTTTGATAACAAAGTCACATATTTGATTTCTCCCACAAGTGCTAGAAATAATGTTAAATACACTTCTTGTGGATAGAAACTGTCTTTCTGTAGGATTTTCCTACACGTGTCATTGCACAGGAAAGGTGCTGGGAGAGACAAAGCTACCAAATATCCAGCATACAATCAGGAACATTAAATATTGGCTTTGTTCATGTATAAGGTTATCCAGGTTAATTACAAGGGCTGTTGAATCAAAATAGTATTTGTTTTGTATGATCTGATTTTATATGTTTCACTGGAGGGCCTTGAATACACAGGCTTCAATTCTGTGGAGCAGCAGAGAGCACTTAGTATTAAGTCTGGGATGAAGGGAATGCTTCAACGTTCAGCTGCCAAGCTGGTTGCTGTTAGAGACTGCAGCAGTCTAACAGCTAACACAGCATTGCTACTGTTCTTCAAATGCTGTGACAGGAAATAGATTGGCATAAGGATGCTCTAATAATACATATTTTTTGTCAGCATAGAGATGTTGGCAGCTTTGGCACAGAGTAAGGGAGAGCCACAACTGGAAAGAGTCAGAAAACAGTCACATGGGTGCCACAGTACATGGACAGATTTTGAACTATCAGAATGCAGCTGAGAGCTTAGAGCTACAACTTCTTAAAAGGAGCATCCCTGGTAGCCAGGCCATTCATAACTTACAGTCATAGGATTTACAGTCTCACCATGTAACCAGATGTCAGGAGCAGCATCTGAAGCTGTCTGAACTACTGCATGTACGTACATACATGTTTAAGCTGCTGAGAAGCTGTCTTGTGGAGGAGACAGTATGTCCTGTATTTGTGAAATACGTATGGTCAAATAAATGCTGATGTGAACACCTGAAGTTCTGCTTTGGCACATAGTCGTTTATCAGATCACTTTGAGCACTACTATAAATGTATATAAAAACATGCTAACATCCTCTTGTCTGGAGAGGATTTAAACCACATTTTGACATGTCGTCTTTTTACCAGCACGTAGCTGGCATTCTAGTGGTCACTGAAGGTCCTCTTGTTTTGACATCCATGTCCGATTAAAAAACTATAAATACTTTTGTATTCATGCTGACTATGTTTAATGCAGGTGGTTTGTATCTTTATGGAAAATAAAGACCAGCTCTCAGCTGCCCCTAAGACTGCTTCATTGAACTTAGAGCTTCCCACACTCCTGTGCTTTGTCAGCCAGTCAGCAGTGAAATGGCTGCCCACAATCAGTTTGCAATAACAAGTGTGAGAGGCGTAGACAGTGGTTAACAGCAGTATTTCAGTATCTGTGTCAGCATTTTATTGTACTAGTATTTTCAGAAATAGTTAAAGTGTTCTTCTTTATAGCAGGTTAATAGTGACACTTGAGGCCTGAAGATGAGTGCTGGGAAACAGTGGGACTTCACAGCACAGAAGGCAATACATCCAACTGAGGAATGGCATGAAAGTCCTCACTGTGTCTTCTAAAACTGCCATGGATGAAATAGCTGCTGTTACTTTTGACATCCCATCTGTTGGCAGTAGGACTTGTAGACTGTGTTTCAAATAGTGTGGTTTCAGCGAGAGCATCCAAAACCAAGTGTAAGCAAACCACTGCACCAAAGTTGTGAACTCTCTGATGCATCTGGGCATCAGGAAGAATCTACAATCTGTTGGCTTTTCTTTAGAAATGACTGTGATGGATGCTGCTTGCATTCCTGGCATTAGAATACTTTTCTATCAGGGATGTGGGGAAATCATACAAGAAACCTTGTCTATCAAACAGCATTTCCCGAGAAAGAGGAAATCTCTTGCAGTGAAGGTAGAATTTTAAAACTCCATTACTCTAGCAGATACTTTTTGCATGAAGATGGTATTGCCTCATACCAGTCCCAGACTATCCCTTAGAATGAGTATATAGTTTCCATTCAGCTCAGGGTTTGAAAAGTCATTGTTAACAAAGTTCTGTGTGAAGATGGAGGCAGTATGTGTCATAGTGTGTACATGAGTTAAGACAACAGTGACATGCTATAGACAAACCAGCTCTAAGCTTTGTTTTGTACTTAGATATTAGGAATCTAGTAAAATTGAGTATCACTAAACATTTTTATTAGGTGTATTTTAAGCATCAGTAGCAACAGCCAGCTTCAAAAAGGATTCCTTTAAAATTTGTTTATAAAAATGATTATTTATTGAACCATGTGAAAACTAGTTAGTTTCAAGCTGCCCTTAGAAAAGAAATTCAAATTTACTTTTTGAGATTTACATCCCAAAGAGGCTGATTCAACTCTGTGACAGTTCTTTGGTCCAGACTTGCCAACTTCACCTGCCTCAGGATCACATTCCCAGTTCTCTACCAGGCAGTACCTGTAAGGTCAGGTGCTATCAGAATTGGAAGTGTTGTGTTGTAAACTTAGAATGCTGCTCTTTTCTAAGTTGCATTCTTCTTTTAAATGGTTGATAGCAACCATTGTAAGGCCAGCTGTAAATCCAGTCAGTACCTGCTAGTAGGTCAGTTAATTGGCAGAATACATGTTCTCAGTTATTCCAGCCTCTTTGTTGCAATAATTTCATTGAATGCCGCAGGGTAAGCCCTCATATTACACCGACGAGTGTTAAAAAGTGTATTCAGTTGTCACCCCTGCTGTACGTTCCTTATGTTCTTGTGCTTGAGGAGCTCGCTTTACAGCATATTTTGAACTGTAGAGTTAGACTCTCTGCTACTTATTCACATTGAGTTTCTTAAAGGAGCTAAATTCTCTTACATTATTAATTTCTGTGCTTGCATCTTACAGTGGTATCTGCAACTAAAGTTGATTCATCTTCATCTGTTCTATACTATATTTGCAGTTAATACGGGGAAAATATTTCAAGAATTACCTACTATAAGCAGTAGGGGGCAACGTTTCTCTGCAATTTGTAGAGATTTGACCTTTTTACTTCCAGTCTGCAAAGATGAAAATAGATACTTTCTGCAGTTGCTGTCAAACTGTCCGAACCACATACTGACTTCACCACGTTAATCTAGCATGCAGATTAAATTTCCTGCATTCTACTAGGTGAGGAGCAATATTTAACCAAAAATGCCATACCTTTGTTTTGACAACATATGTCTTCTGAACTGCAGAAAAGATTATGAACAGCATATAACCAATAAGTGCAATCAGTTTTCAGTAATTCAGTGCCATGGTGTTTGGGTGATTTCTCCAGGTTTCTTTGCCCCTTGGCTTTGCTGGAATGAATACCTAGGCAAAGTCCTTAAGAGTTCTACTACAGAAAATTGAATTCCTTGATTGGTTGTCAGAGGAGCAGCAGTGACCTGCACCGTGCTGAGGATCCCACCCAGTGCCTCAACAGCTTTTACTTTTTTTTCTAATGAAATGGAAGCAAATTTCTGGCTTTAATTAAAGCTGACAGTGTTTTTCTCTTAGTTCCTTGCTGGTGATGAATGATAGACACTGTAAAATCAGAGTGCAGTCCCTGCACGCTGAGTATAAAGCAGAGTCATTAAGGTAGGTGTCAGAAGGCAGAGCCCTAGCAGAGAGGGGAAAGGACGGAAGAGCCAAAACAGCTAGACAGTAATGCTGGGATAGAACAGCAGTAATGGTCTTTTCACTACACTTCAAGGCAGGCCTCGATCTGACCTCTTAACCCATATATAGATGATCTATGCTCCTCAATTATGTTAATTCACAGTTTGAATCTAAAATCGCTGTAACTGCGTTTTGCTTTGTTTCTTAATGCTGTTACCAATATATTTTTGTTTCTTTGACAATGGAAAACAAGAAAGTACTAAACTGAAAAGACAATAATTAACAAGTAATGTGCATCTATGTGAGAGACAGGCAGGAATATTTCAACTTTTTATTGCTTTCTGCTGTTGTAATGGCTCTGTCTCCAGGAAATGTTTATTGTGCATTACAAAATGTCAGTGGTGTTCTCCCAGAGGTCTCTCCCCGTCCACAGGTGACTATCTATCACTCCAGGAGCAATGAGTGTATGAACCCCTCCCTCTTCTATTGCACAAACATCAAAATAGGGAAATGCAGCCCCGTATAAATCATTTGTGGTGCTCTGGATGAGACAATTCTGCAGCACTCTCAAATTCTGCCATCCTTCTTCCACCAGTTATGCTGCTTTTCACAGCTAAATTTTTTGTGTGTGTGTGTGGTTTTTGTTCCCCCCACTCCAACCCTTGTTTCTTTTCTACTTCAGCGGTGATCCCCCTGACTGACTCAGAACACAAGTTACTGCCTTTGCACTTTGCGGTGGATCCTGGGAAAGACTGGGAGTGGGGAAAAGATGACAATGATAACACCAGACTGGCCAAGTAAGACCTTTCTATAACTTCACTGTTAAGCAGTAAAATGTCTTGAGCCATACCTGATTGAAGTATTGGGAGAACTGCTAACAGAGTGGGCTTTATGTTCTCTGGTTACATGGGAGAAGACATGGGTGGGTCTCCAGCTGATGGTCACAATTCAGGCTGCTGTTAATCTCTCAGTGTTAAGAAGTATTGCTTTTTCTTTCAGGTTTTTTGACTTTTTGTTCCCTTCTTTTTTCATCCTTAGTTTGATTCTGTCTCTTGAGGCAAAGCTTAATCTTCTACACAGCTACATGAATGTAACATGGATACGCATACCATCTGAGACACGGGTAAGGTAAACTTCCCCCTCGGTCTAAACTAGGTGAGAGATACGAGGCACGACAGGGTGTTGTGTAGGGTAGGCTGCCAGGACCAGCCAGCGGCCTGGAAACACCTAAGTGTCCTAGCGCAGGGACAAGCCACTTGTGGCTCATTGTCATTGCAATCAGGCTTATAGATTTTTCTAGTTATTTGTTTTAATAACACAGTTGCTGGTATATTTTTGCAACCCATACTCTGTTCTGAAATGTATTTTCTAACTGTTACTTATTTCAGTAGTCCGTGTAGTTCAGAAAAACCTTAAAGTAGACCTTTTCTCACCATTGTTTTCTCAGAAGTTTGGCTTGCTCTCCTAATGCCACCGTTAGGTCACCAATCCCAAATCCTTTCTCTTTCTGAGAATGCATTTGCACCTCTGGAGAGCTCCCCGTTTAGAGTGACTGACAAAAGGCCACAGACTGGCACTGAACTGGAGCCTGGTTCTTTCAGAAAGCTATTTTAGAACCGTGCCCAGCTGGCACCTAGTCAGCTGCAAATTTCTCTGCAAATTACATTGAATAGACTGAGGGGTTAGTCTGGAGGCAAAAGGTTGCTAGGAGAGGGTGGAGGTGATTTAGACAGCCTACGCAGATGGGATTTGAAAGGAGGAACAGAACACAAAAGAAGAAAGTCTTTAACCAGCCCCAAGAGGGGAAAAATCCATTTTTCTAAAGTTTCTACTGCGACAGAAAAAGGAGACAAAATGGTCCTGTAGTTGTAAGTTGTGAGCCTGAAACTTGCGGGACCTGGGTTACTTCTCTCTGCTTCACACTTGCCACATGAGCATGGTTGGGTCACTTGAGCATGCGTTCCCTCCTTTGCCAAGTGGGGATTGTTATCCCCACTCTGCTCCCGAGTGGGTGGTGGGGTGCTCAGGGATTCCAGAGAGAGACAGGACATTTAAGTACCCAGGGACAAGAAGCAGGCGTGCATTTCTGTACTGGAAGCATATGCATCTCCAGAGTTTGGGGTTTTTTCGGCTTGCCTTTTTTTTTTTTTCTGAATCATTCTGGTTAGTTAAATGTTTCCTATTTATTTTTAGCAGATTTTAGCTTCACAGTGCCTGAAAGCAAGACTAAGTTTTGCAGGAGTAAATGAACAGAGCCACATTTGAAAGTATCCTAGCATCCTCATTATTACATTTGCAAGAAATATGTTTTATCACCTTACCTAAAATTTAAATTGAAACTTAGACTTTTGACACCAGTTCTAGCTCCATTGTATTTCTCAGTCTACTTGTTTAATGTTTAATATTTCAGGCAAGATGCTTAGCTCTGGTGCATTGTACCTTTAATTTTCATGCACCAGAGACCTGAACAACGAAGAAATCAATTTAAATGAGTTGGCTTTTGAACATAACGGATTTTGAAATATTGCTACATACAGGTTTGTATGCTGTGTCCCCCTCACAGCTTTCAGCAGAATCTCATTTCCCTTCCATCACAATATTATCTGTTTCTTTCCACGCTCTCTGTCTCCCCCCTGGCTGAGAGGCAGCCTGCATTGCAGAGGCATCCTCCTGAACGGCCGATCTCTGCACGCTGGCCAGCTGCTCCGCTGGTCAGCACAAGCAGGGAGGTTGTGCACGGCCTGCCCCTCGACAGGAGCACTAATTCGCATCTCTCCGTGTTTCAGACACTGATTTTCACAGAACCTCTGAATGACTGACCTCTATTCTACAAATATGCTTGAAATGAGCCAAAAATTACTGTAGGAACAAGCAAGATACATAGTCAGCACAGCCAAATAAGGGTTTTTTTGGTGAAGAAACCAATCTAAAATGTCAGTGCATAAATTAAAAATCAATGTCAAAATCTATATTTGATTTGGGTTTTTTTGCACCAAGTCTCTGTATGAAACTGATTTTGCTGTATCTAATTATAATTACTTTTCCATAGCAGGCCCCTTTGGCTCAACCAGAATCCCCTACAGCTTCAGCCGGGGAAGATGTTCAGTCTCTGGCTGACTCAATGGACTCGGACCGAGATTCCATCTGTAGTAACTCCAATGGCAATAATGGCAAAAACAGTAAAGAAAAAGAAAAGGACAAACAGAGGAAGGAGAAAGACAAAACCAGGACGGATTCAGTTGCCAATAAAATAGGAAGCCTCAGTAAAACCCTGGGAATTAAACTGAAAAAGAATATGGGTGGTCTTGGAGGCCTGGTGCATGGCAAAATGAGCAGAGCCAATTCAGGGAATGGAAAAAATGGTGATGCAGTAGAGAAAGTCAAAGAGAAGAAGTCCAAGTCTCGAAAAGGGAGCAAAGAGGAATCTGGACAGTCTGCGAGCACTTCCCCATCTGAAAAGACCACTCCATCTCCAACTGACAGAGCTAGCAACTCACCCATTGAAAAGATGAACACTAAACCCTTCTCTGACAAGCCGTCTGACCCATGGAAGTACAGCACTGACGTGAAACTCAGCCTAAATATTTTGAGAGCTGCCATGCAGGGTGAACGAAAGTTTATTTTTGCTGGCCTTCTTTTGACCAGTCACAGGCATCAGTTCCACGAGGAGATGATAGGCTATTACCTGACCAGTGCACAGGAGCGTTTCAATGCAGAACAGGAACAGAAAAGAAAGGATGCTGAGAAAAAGGCTGCACTGAATGGGTCATCTAGTAGGAAACTGGAGCCAGAAGCATATTCAAAAGAAAAATTAGAAGCATCTCCTCAGGACAGGGCATCACCCGTCTTGCCTCAAAGCCATACAACTCAACTGGTTTTAAAATTTAAGGATCGCACTAGTCCCACTCCTGGGTCATTTTCTTCACCTAGTAATGGTGCTAAGAAAAGTGGACCCATTCCGGTATCTGCCCACTATAGCCATACTCCACCTGTTCAAAGGCAAAGTGTCATCCATTTGCATGATGTCAACTCCAAGCCATCGAGCTTCCAAGACGATACCTACAAGCCAGTGGTTGGCACCTTAAAAACCTGTGCCACCTATCCCCAACAAAACAGATCGTTGTCTTCTCAGAGCTATAGCCCAGCCCGGATATCCGGTATCCGTACAGTGAACACAGTGGAATCGCTGAGCTATGCCATGCCTACTGAACACAAGTCTCAGACATACACAAATGGATTCAATACTGGCGATATTAGAGACTGCTTAGAATATGCTGATGAGGATGCTCCTCAGACCTGGTTGAACAATGAAAAAAATCAAGGCAGAAGCACAGTTTGCCCAATATATTCCATCCAGCAGAACCACTGTAAGAAGGAGAACTGTTCCTTTTATGGTCGTCCTGAGACTGAAAATTACTGTTCATACTGCTACAAAGAAGAGTTAAAGCGCAGGGAGAGAGAAAGCAAGGGACACAGGCATTGAGGATTCTTCTGTGACTACTTAGTTTTACCATTTTCTTACTTACAAAGTAAACAGTGTTGAATTACAGTAAAAGGAATCCTTAAAAAAAGAATAAAGGATTGATGAGTAAATAGTGTCTAGCTTTTCGCTTTTCGGGGGCAATGAGGAAATAATAGGATTAATTTATCATAAAAAATATTATTTTCCATTTTGTCAGTGTCTTTTTTACATATATTGGTAAGCTGAAGGGTTGTTTACTCCTTTGTCAGTGCTGTGTATATGTTTGGTCAAAAATTTACTAATGGTGCCTGAATTTACACTGACATCACTCAGGTAGTAGAACGATAAGGGAAAGTCATAATACCAGAGATGGGGTGTTGTAGTAGGGTAGTATCTGCCTTGCAGACATTTGAAATTCTATAGCTATTATGCGAGTATTTTTTTCTGCAGTAAAACCTAAATTTTTCATAGCTTTTTTTTTCAGAAGGGTAGCGATTTTGCATACTGCACATTTTTACCATGGCAGCATATTGCATTACTACTAATGTTTGTACTCACTTTAGTCTGAAATTGAATGATTCTGGGAAAATGGGAGTGAAAGGTCTGAATTCATGAGGGCTGTAGCTCTTCCTAATTTTAAGTTCTTACCTGTTATTTCTACATTTCCATAAAAAAGTAGATTTGAGCTACTTTTATTTGTACTGAATTTTTAACCAGGTTTTATAAAAAATATATTATGACTTGCAAGACTTCACGTCACAAAACCCCCCCACCCACGTAGTATAGTTTTGGGCACCTGGATTTCAGTAGTATTTTCATTGCTGTTAAAATTGACAGAAATGTTAAAATAAAATTAAAATATAGAAATTTTACTAGATTTGGAAAATTTTATGACCAGCTAGGAAATTTAGGATCATTTTAGAGCTGAATGAACTGCTTGTCAAATCAAATGTATTGCATCGAGTCCCTTAGCCATTGGATGAATTTAATCGTTATTTATTTCTTCCTCTCTCAACATTATCAAGTGATAGTTATTGCAAACGTAACTACTTCTGAGCCTTTCTTGAAGACTCTTGGCTCCGCTTATTTTTGAGTCTTTTCCTAGAGTGAGTTATGTACCCAACCAGGACGTTCAGAGATGGCTATAAAATACCTCCAGTGTGAATGGCAACTCCTAGCACAGATTTGCACAAGGCTCATACCCAAATATTTATGTAAGTATTTGCAATACTTTTGAAAAGAAAACTTGGCTCATAGCAACGTTTCTGTAAAGCGGGCACTGCAAATACTGTTAAAGTAGATGTATGGTGTTAGGAAGTTTTCTTGAATATAGTACTTGCCGGTTTATCAGCTGGCAGAACATAGTAAGAATAAATCTTTCGTGCTGTTACACTTGTAAGCAATGGCTTATTTACTGTCTACCTACGTTTTTTTTAAAAAAAAGAGCTTATTTTCCACAAATAGATGAAGTAATGCTTTCAAGACTGCTTACTTTGCCACCTAAAGGTGCAGAACATGAGTCCTGCCTTACTCATGATGGAATAGTACTTTTCTGGCCCACACAGGAACGGTTTTTTGCCAGAGAGTCTTTGTTTCTGATTCTTTTCTGCTGTACCCCAATTTTTACTCTTGACGTGGGTGGCACCATTTCACTTGTGTACAGTTAATGCTAGTTAGCCTTGAAACCAAGCCTACAGTAGTCTCTGAAACAACATACACAAACTTATGCTGACGTGTACTGCTTTTGCTAATGTTCCGCTGAAATTTGTGGAACTGAGCACATACTTAAAATTGACCATATCTTTAGGTTTTCTGCTGAATGGGAGCTTTAAAGGATAGTTTCAAAATAAGTCCATTAGCCACTCTTTAAAAGTCATGGTCTTTGCCATGTTAGCTGTTCCATGAATCCAGACCTGTACTTCCTATTTCTTGCCCTATACTGAACATACACTGAATGTTACTGAATTTGCATTCCTTCAGAAGAAGGAAATATTGGTATGTGTAATGAGAGGTTAAAACTCCACGTGACTTCTGTCCTTAAGGTAAGCACATTGTAAAACCCATGTCTGCGGTTGCAAGCAGTGTCCTCTTTTGCTTAACTGTTGTGACTACACGTAAGTTCTCATTGCCAAAGAAATCTGTGATTGCAGGTTATGCGAAAACAAGCCAGATCATGTTAAAAGAAATCAAATATCATACTTGATTGTATTTGTTGCTGAGACTGAGAAAATTGACAGGATAAAACTTCATGAAAAAAGAAATATTTAAGAATTCTTAGGGCATTAGAGTAGCAGTAGCTTTTGATACTCTGAGAATTGCTTCTGTGTAAAGTTGTGCTTAAGAAATATTACATTAGCAGCAGACTACACCAGCCTGTGTATTTAAGTCAGTTGCATCCTTTCTGAATGAGGAAAAACATAACAGCACATATGTAAAAATAAGCAATTATCATGAGAATTTGCTGTTTCCCATTTTTAAAAGGAGTGGTTTCTATAGTATGTTTTTAAGAACTGCTACTCACAAAAAGGTTTACAGCTGGTCAATATTTAGATAAATTACTCTGTTCTAAATTATTTAATAGATTGTACCTGTGTATTAGATTATTTTGAAAAATTAATTGGCCTTCTGAATAATAATAGGCTTGTCTGTATAGGATACCAAACTTCAGGGTTCACTATCATCCTCAAGTCACTCAGATATTTCCACAAATATTTAACATGACTGGATTGCTCATTTTAAAATATCTGTTATGTGAAGTACTGGCAGAACACTTTTTAGTTGTGCCTGTTTTCTTTTCTTGGTATATCTTTGAATAATTTGCTTAATATTGCCATTTTCTTTTAGAATGCTCTTCAAATATCCCGCTATTCTCTTGTCCCTTAGCATTTGATATGGAAAAGAAGCTGCAGGCCTGCAACACAATTTGCCAGTTAAAATCTACCCATCTTTTCCTAGTAGTTGTCCTTTCTGCTTACTTTACTTAAAAAACACCTTACTGTGGTTTTTTTTTTCTCCTTTTTTTATTTCAGAGCTATTTGTGGTAGTTGTCTATAGGGGATACCATAGTTGGAATTAAACAGTCCAAACATGCAGAAACAGTGCCTCCTCCTGAAGAAGTGATTGCCCCATTAAAAGAAGAGTCTAGCTGTAAGAGGAAACTATCTACCTTTTTTCAGAGAGAATTCCCAACTGCTCGTGAGTTGCATTCACCAGCGCCAAAATAACTTGTGTCATTCCTTAGCTAGGTGTGAGAGGCAATAACCTTCAAATGCATTTTTCTGTTGCACTAAATGGCTTCACCTTTTACTGCTCTTTTGGTTTATTTTTCCTTACATTGAAAACATATGTAGTCCACAGGCCAGCAAATCCTTTCCTGTGCCTGATCTGCCCTCTCTGTATCTTCCAGAGCTTGTTAGAGTTAGTCCCAGCTGGACAGAAGTCAGTTTTGGTTTTGGAGGACCCTATTCGTTTCTTGTTAGCTTAAGTGGCTGCAATACACATGCTTTTTTTTTTTTTGCATTTGTATGAGCTTTTTCCCCTTCTCTCCTTGATGGTGGTTCAACAATTATCACTGTTGTCCAGACTTTGAAAGTACAGACTAAATCCTGGGTAGGCTACACCTTCCCCGGAATAGATCCAAAATCACCAGAAGATATTTAGGTTGGAGGAAGCAGGAATTTTTTTAATGTGTGAATGTGCAATTTTTGTAACTTAAAAAAGGCTTAAACCTATTATGCAATTTTTTTACTTTGTTCATAAACTCTGATACACAAAGGTCTGTTAGTAACAGGGGATGCCTGTAATACATAATGGGTTTCAGTCACACTTTATATTAAAGTTCCATTTAAAATGCTTTTTAAAGAGTTAATAAACTATTGCTAGACTTTACAAGTATTTTTTCAGATTGTGGGTATTGGTTCTAGCATATGGCTAACAAGCAGCTCATTCAGAAGAAGATGGTGTAGGTTATCAGTGGCAACCAGATATTTTGGATTTTAAAACAATTGATTAACCTTTTGTTATTATGGTTCATTAAGCTTTATAAATGCAATGGAAATATAGCATGTGACCCAGCTTTCTTTAGGAATTAGTTCCTTCTTCCTAAGTCAAAGCGACAGTAAGGGGATCAGTGAAAGAAAGATGCTGTATTTGGAAAGTTTTGTGTTGCTTATTTCTTAAGAAGTCTAAATAGGCCAAGTGAAGTCTTCATGTGGGCAGTATTGCTTGATACAGAAAGCGTTGAGGAGAGACGCTTAATGTGGATTTGCACACCATTTGACTGCAGATCAAAGCATTCTGCTGAGGCAATTTCAGTCCTTGTACGTATAGGCATATTCAGGGTAATCTACTTCTCGTGTGATGAATGTGTAGATATCAAAAAATGCACAGCACAGATCTGACAAAATACTGCCCTCTGACTCTGGTTCTGCAAACAGTTACACTGGTGCTCAACCTCACCGATACGAATAGCCTCCCTGACATCAAGGAGGCTGCTTATTTTCAGAAACTTAACATAACTGTTAAGAAAAAGCATAAATGTTCGTGGGATCAGGGCCTGAGCCTTCAGCCAGCATTTGCTCC